GGAAGTGGCGCTGTGGCTCAAGTGGTAGAGCGCTAGCCTTGAGCTGAAGAGCTGAGGGACAGCGCGCAGGCCCAGAGTTCAGGCCCCACGACTGGACCCCCCCCCAAAAAAAGAGAGTGGTACTATACACAATGGAATTTTACTCATCAATTAGAAAGAATAAGATTATGTCACTTACAGGGAAATGGATAGAACTAGAATAAGTCATGTTAAGTGAGATAAGCCAAGAAAGAAACACGGCTCATATTTTCTTTCACATGTGAAAGGTAGATGTAAAATATAACTGGACATGATAACCTATGTAGGACTTCAAGGATTCACAATAGTCTGAGTAAAGGAAGATAGTTTCAGAAGAAGAACTCAAAGGAATAACTCATCTGAACATTTAAAGTATTAGTCATCAAAATGAAATCCAAGAAATGAAAACATGGGGTTTGGGAAGTGGTGCTATGACTCAAGTGGTAGAGCCATAGCCTTGAGCATAAAGGAACTCAGAGAAAGCACCTAGGCCCAGGACATTCCAAAACAACAACAACAACACACACACACACATACACACTCACACAAACCCATAGCAGTTTTTTATTGTTGTTGTTTGTATTTGTTGTGTTTTATTTTTCTTTTTAGGGAGGCAAAGGTAGGCACAGAAAGGGAGAAAAGAAGGATGAAGAAATGCAATTATATGGAGGTTCCTCAAAAGACTCCACCTAGAGCTCCCCTCTGACCCAGCAATCCCACTTTTGGACATTTACCCGATTGATCACAAACAAGACCATACTAAAGCTACCAGCACAACTGTGTTTATTGCAGCATTATTTACCATAGCTAAGATATGGACCAACCCAGATGCCCCTCAGTAGATGAATGGATCAAGAAAATGTGGTATATATACACAATGGAATTCTATGCCTCCATCAGAAAGAATGACATTGCTCCATTTGTTAGGAAATGGAAAGACTTGGAAAAAATTATATTAAGTGAAGTAAGCCAGCCCCAAAGAAACGTAAGTCCCATGTTTTCCCTCATTTGCAATAACTAGAATATGTCTGGGACAAGCAGAAAAAGTCAGATAAGTTGATGTTAGGTGAAATGAACCCCAAGATAAGGACACGGCAGTTTTTTTTTCTTGCTTGCTATTGTTTCTAACATGTTTATAAGGTGATTGTTTTGTGGCTTTGTATGTCCCTCCCCCACAGTATAACCCCTGTTTTTACTGTATTTAATGTTGGTATAATTTGGGGAGGGGAAGGAAAAAAACCAAATTGTTTAACCCATTGCAACAATGAGATATATAAAATGCTATGTTGAAAAACGAACTTTACAACTTTGGTGGGGGGGGGAGTGTAGTTGTGGAGATGGGAGGGCAGGGATGGTAGGAGAATAACAAAGGAGGAGGCAACAATGCTTGATAAGAAATGTACTCATTACCTTGCTCATGTAATTGTAACCCCTCTGTACGGTATTTTCACAATAAAAACTTATTAAAAAAAGAAATGCAATCATGTTATTCAGTATACACTATGTGGGAAAAGGAGCTATGTAACTTGTGTACAAGAATTGTAGGGGGATACCAGGAACCTGCATGAGTGAAGGAAGGTTGACATTGTCCAGAAAAGAAATGTACTCATTACCTGACTTATGCAATGGTAACACCTCCGTAAACGATCTTAATAATAAAAATACAATTATACATATCTTTATAGATAGCTTCTAGTTTTCCATATTTTTATTATTTGCCTTGTAAATTACTTAGCTTCATTTCTCCCACTTTTGTAGACTGCTGCAAGCTCGGGGTTTCATTAGTACTCTTAATTGCAACCTCGATGTGCAGAATTGGAACTATGAAGCATGTAGTGTTTTAATACTTGGCATTTATTTAAAAATTTGAAAAACGACAAGAAATTTCTCATTGCAATAATTTTATCTTTTTCGGTCCAGGGGCTTGAACTCAGGGCCTGGGCGTTGTCCCTGAGCTGTTCAACTCAAGGCTAACTCTCTACCACTTGGAGCCACAGTGCGACTTCTGGTTTTCTGGGGGTTGAATGGCTAAGAGTCTCATGGCTTTTCCTGCCGGGACTGGCTATGAACTGCAACCCTCAGATCTCAGCCTCTTGAGTAGCTAGGATTACAGGTGAGAACCACAGCACCCGGCTGCGATAAATTTTTTTAAAGTAGTTCTAAATGAGGTTTATTTCAGGGCCAAAATGCGAGACTCATGTATTATTTTCCTTCCCAAACTTCTTTGACTTTCAGGATAACAAGAAAATCTTGCAGAAGCAGACCACGTGGAGTCAGAAAAGTACATCCAAGCGACCGCTGAACGGTTTGGCTGAATTTTCGGCTGTGTTGGGACTTTCCAAAACATCCTTTTTACAATCGTGGCTGAGGGAGGAGAGGGCAGGGGGTCCCAAACGAACAGGGGCAGCTCAGCCACCAGCCAAGGGATCCTGAAGAACAGAGAGCAGGAGGGGAGACAGGTAATGCGACCTTGAAAAGGTTCGTGCCAGCTTCGCGCGAGCCAGAAAGGTGCTTCTCCACGAGTGGATTGACGGCTGCAGACACCAACAGGGAGCTTCCCGCACGAATACTTCCCCAGCATTCAACTTTGCAGGGGCCCAGGACAGTCGTCCGGAGGCAGCACTGCGCACGGTCAGGGTGGCCTGGGTGGGAGAGGCATAAAGGCGGTGCCGGTGACTGATTGGCTTAGGGACCCATGGGCGTGGCCAAGGGGCGGGAAGAGGAAAAAGGGAGGAGCCCCAGAGCTGGCGCTGAGCGCAGTCCAGGAGTGGTGGAGACTATGGCCACGCTGCGAAGGCTCCGAGAGGCGCCCCGGCACTTGCTAGTCTGCGAGAGATCCAACTTCAGCCACCACAAGTCACGCCACCGGCATCTAGTGGAGGCGCACTATCACAATTACCGGGTGAGCCGGTGTCCTCCGTGCACGCTAAGGCCGCGACAGAGTTTGGGGAAACGTCTCACCACGCTTCGCGTGGCGGTAGTTTCCCTGTCGGGGAGGGGCGGGCCATCACTAGGCATCCTGGGAGTTGTAGTCTCCGCGGTGCTCTGGCCCCGTAGAGCTCTGCAGTGCAGGACTACAACTCCCAGGATGCCCTGCTGGCAGGGCTCCTTTGAGGGTAGGACCCCGCAGAGCCTGGTTCTTGCTGTCCAAAGCGCGTCTTAAAGCGCGTCTTAACTTCTAACGGGTCCCAGCAGCCGGAATATTGTTTCTGAGAGCCTTGTGAGGGGCTGGACGGGGACAGGGCAGTTGGGCAGCTGTGCCTGTCCTGAGGTGCAGCTGTCCACATGAAATCGGCTGGTGTCTCGCGCCTCCTTCCCGCCTCAGTGTCCTCCCGCAGCCCGGTTCCCTCTGTGGCCAGCTGGTCTACCCCCGCCTCTTCCCAGCCCCTCGTGCTGCCCTGGCTCAAGAAGCCACCTGCTTTGCTAACCCGTTGATGGGAGCCGATTTGATAATCGAGAAATTCCCCAAACCTAACTAAGATGGCACGAGTTTAAGCATTTTATATTTGAAATTGGTTAGTTTGATATGTCCCAGACATTAAGAAACACGCTCCCTCCACATTGATGTTGGTGTTGGAGCTTTAAGGCAGGGCCTCAGTGTGAGCACTTGAGCAACAACAGCTGGAATCTGCTGGTATTTCACGTTGATGGTTTGCTTGTAAAGCTCATCTCAGTCAGTAGGTCGAGTTGTTTTGCCCTAAAAGGTCTGGACTGACCTGTGGCGTCTCTAGAACATTGAACCCTGCAGGAGCCCTTTGCTCTATGAGGAGCCTATTAATAATTGAGAGTTCCTAAATTCCCTGTGCTCCTTGGACTCCAGGGTAAACCTGCAATAATCTCTTCCATTGTATTTCTTTGAAAACAAAGTAGCAAGAGAAACAGAACCTTTTGCTCATGTGCAAAAGGTAAAATGCAAGCATGATCTTTCCATCTCTCCTGTACTTTAGGTTGCCATGCAGAACTGAACAATTTCAGTTGTTAAATTTCTCTTTGCCTGGGCTTAGTCTGTTAAGTGAAGAGGTTTGTTGCCTATATGTGTGTGTGTATCTCACAACCACCCACCCCCACACACATATTTCCAGCAACACTCATGAAGAAATAGTGAGCAACACTCCCAAAAAATCTGTTAATCTTTATGTTGTATTATGCATTGGAATAGGTATCATTTCTCATTCCTGAATGTGAGATACTACCCAAACAACTGAAAAGCCTGGTCAAGGAAACTGGACCCAATTATTGTGTGAAGAATTTACCTCTTCAGGAATTAATTGCACATGAATTCATTAACACTTTTGTAAGGAAAGGTAAAAAATCAACCCATGATGCCACATAATAAACAAGGCAAGATGAGGAACTACAGGGAGACTGTAACATGTTATTTGGGCTGTATTTTTTTGTATCATTGTGTTTGTTTTTTGTGCCCGTACCAGGCTTGAAATCACTGACTGGGGCTGTTCCTGAGCTGCTTCCACTGGCACTGTACCACTTGAGCCAAACCTCAATGACTAGAGTGGCTTTGCACTGTGATCCTTTGAACTGTGATAGCAGTCTTTTGAGTAGGTAGGATAATAGTCATGAACCACCAGTGCTAACACTCTTGTTTGGAAAGGATCTGTAGTCCTGTGTGTATCACTCTGTGTCCTTAATTTTCCCTGTCCTGCCATTTGCTGCAGTCCTGTTATGTGGTAGTTTCTGATTGCACTCTCCTGATTGTCTTCTTAGATTTTGTGTCCCTGATCTTGTTCTGTTTCCCTCAGTCCTAATTGTATCTGTGGTACAGTTGTTCTCTTGGAGTCATCGTTTGAAGTTGTATTTCAGAGTGTCTGTAGGGATTCCACCCTCCTCTCAGAAGCCATTCACTAAGGATGGACTATGGACCTTCACTGTTGTAGTTGCATGTTTGTGAAGTTTGGTTACTGTAACACTGCTTACTCTGGGGCTACATGTAAAGCTGGACATATCATCTGTTTATGTTAGCATTTTTCCCTGTAAAGACTGAGGTTATTTTGTTAATGGCATGAACACTTTATGACAGGCACTTTAAAATATCTCTCATCCTACATCTGAGAGGTAGGCCCCTGGGTCCTGTGTAACATATGAAGAAAGGCTGAGTAGCTTTTGATTATTAGCCTAGAACTGTTCTGAGGAGTACCTGCTCTTTTTCTTGGTGTCTTTCTGCTAAACCCCCGTGGAGACTAAGTTCCATTCTATGTTATTTTTCTGCCTGAAATTAGAAACCTTGATGGAAGGGAGTGAGCTGGCTGGAGCTCAGCCTTCCATGTCTTCCAGCTTCCCTTGTGTGTGTTGGTCACTGAGTTACGTGGGGTGTGGTGGCTGGAAGATCTGTCCTCATGAAATTAATGCATTAACTTGTGATGTCTTCTGTGTTTTAATTCTTCCTCCTAACTTTCTCTTACAGGTTCCTGCTATGCACTGATGTTCAATACATATATTGATGAAGATAATACTGTTGGTCTGCTACCCAATGGTAATTGTTTTCTTTTTCTGTTTCATTATAAAAGAAATGAATTCTGTAATACCAACAATACCACTCTTTGGAATTTATCCAAAAGATTACAAATGAGAATATAGTAAAGCCACTTACATAATCATGTTCATTGCTGCTCTATGCACCATAGTCAAAGTATGGCATCAGCCAAGATGCCCCTCAGTGGATGAGCTGATCCAGAAAACGTGGTCTATATACACAATGGCATTTTACGAATGATATTAAGAATCACTTGCAGAGAAATGGGTAGACCTGGAAAAGAATTAAGTGAAGTAAGTCAGTCCAAGAGAGACAAAGTATACATGGTTTATCTTCTATGTTGAAGCTAGGACTAATTTAGAAATGTTACAAATACACACAAGTGGAGATGTATGCAAGTATACATTAGCTGAAGTGTGCTATTTTCAGGGGAGAATTCATTCCAGCAGTGTAACTCCTTAGAAAAAAAGGGGAGGGGGGTACAATGTACTTACAGTATTCAATGCATATCATATGAAATTACCGAAGTGAGAAGTTGGGTTGAGAGGGAAGGAGAGAATAAACGGGATGCTATTGATCAAGATGCATTGCACTTATGAGCTGTTTTGTTGAATGATAACTCCTTTGTAGAATTGTCTAACAAAAATAAAACTAAGTTTTTTAAAAAGATCCAACCATACAGAGCTATACAGAATACAGTGATGGATGGTTTCTAGTTCCTCCTGACTTACTTCCATTCTTAGAAGGAACAGTTTGACATTAATTCTTCCAGCAATGATTTTATCAACATGTATAAATGTTTTTATACATGAATTACATTGTGCTACATTGGTTTTCAATGTTCTTTTTCCCTGAGTTACACATCATAGCTGTCTTTCCATATCAGTACATACATTTTTTTTTATTTATTCGTTTTTGAGACAGGGCCTTACCATATAGGCCAGGCAAGTCTGGAACTGACTTCAACTGGCTTTAACTCCAGATCTCATGGCTTAGCTTCTATCGTGCTGGACTAATAGACATTTGCCACCACACCTGATTGTAACTTACAGTTTTTAATGTTTGAAAGATAGTTGAGGGCCAGTTATGTTAAAGCATACCTATAATCTCAGCTACCCAGGAGGTAGAGATGGAGAGGTTTAAGATTTGAGTCCAGCATGCATAAAAGTTAGTGAGAGTCTCATCTCAACAAACTGATGTGGTTCATGTCAATAAACTCAACTACCCAGGATTCATACATAGAAGGATCATTGTCCAAGGCTGAACAAGAAGCAAGATCTTATCTAAAAAACAACTAAAGCAGCCAGGTGCTGGTGGCACATGCCTGTAATCTCAGCTACTCAAGAGGCTGAGATCTGAGGATTGTGGCTGAAAGGCAACATGGGCAGGAAAGTCCGTGAGACTTTTTTTGTTGTTGTTGTTTTTTGGTCAGTCATGGGTGCTGTCCCTGAACTCTTTAGCTCAAGGTGAGCTCTTTTCCACTTGAGCCACAGCACCACCTTCTGTGTTCTGGTGGTTAATTGGAGATAAGAGTCTCAGACTAGGGCTGGGAAGGTGGCTCAGTGGTAGAGTGCTTGCCTTGCATGCATGAGGACCTGGGTTCGATTCCTCAGCACCACATAAGCAGAAAAAAAAAGCCGAAAGTGGTGCTGTGGCTCAAGTGGTAGAGTGCTAGCCTTGAGCTTAAGAGCTAGGGACAGCGCCCAGGCCCAGAGTTCAGGCCCCACGACCGGACCAAAAAAAAAAAGTCTCAGACTATCCTGCCTGAGCTGGCTTTGAACTGGGATTTTGAAAGCTAATTACTCGATGATGATTTTTGATTCATCACTTTACTGAAGATAATATTTTTCAAACATTATTTAAAAAGCTGCTTCAGCCCTTCTCTTCGGCTGAGATCCCTGGTTCAGAATAAGCTTGGTCTGAAACTATTTGCCTAAATCTTTGTGGGTTCTCTATGGATTCAGAGATCCTGGGACTGAGCAGGCAGCTTTCTCCTATTTCTTCCCTTCCTTTCCTCCAGCTCACTTTGTAGTCTTGGCCAGAATGTGACCCTAGAATGTAGTCTTGGCTAGAATGTATCTAGGGGTCATATGACCCCTAGTTATACAGACATCTGTGATCTGTTTGCTCATTGCTAGTAGGCAGTAACACATGTGTGTTATTAAGTATCATTTCAAATTTGTACCTTGTACTTGACTACAACACTGAATCTAGTTTAGAAGATGATGTTCATTAAGTTTGTGCATTAAGTTTGTTGATCTGCTTACCATTGCTCCTATCCAAGCATTGTGTTGCTGGTCAGTTACACAGTTCTACTGGCCCAGGCATGAGGAAGTATAATGGTGCAGTGCTCTTTTGGGGGTGGGGAAGCAGGTGGGTCCACTGTGGAGATGTGCACATCCTTCTGCTCCTCGGGGAGACTTCTGGTCACAGCCAAGCAAGGTTGCTTTCCTGAATCCTAGTTCTGTAAAGATCCTTGTGTCTTTGTGAAGCAGGTGGTAGGCAGAAGGGGGAGAGATTTACAGAAGTCACAGTCACTTGAAGTCTTCCCTGCAGTGGGGTTTATGTGGCTTCCTGCTCCTAAGGCTGCTGACTGCTTTCAGAGCTTTTCAGGATCTGTGTGGAATCTGAGATTCAGTCTGCCAGCTAATAAAGTAGCAACTCCTGTCCAAGACAAAGGATTTCATTCCTAACAATCGCCATAGTGTATAGCAGTCACCGTAGGGAAAAGAGACAGGCAGACACAGACCAACTCATCAGGAGAAACCGTTTATACAGTGTGGAGACTGAGAAGTCTGTCATAGCCATCTGTAAGCTAGAGACTAGAAATGCCCACCCAAGTCTGGAAGCCTCAGAACCAGGCAAGCTGTTAGTGTTCCTCAATCCAAGGCCACAGGTCTGAGAACCTAGGGGACCATGGGTACAAGTCCTGGAGTGCCAAGGCCTGAGAAGTTGGACTTGTCTGGAGTTATATCAAGGTTATATTCATGTTTGGTTCCCCTTTCTTAGTTAATTGTAGAAGGGCTATGTGTACTCCAGAATGTACCATCTCCAGAAGAGAGATCAAATTTCCCTTTCTACTGCCCCTTTGCTTGTCCTGGGCTCCCAGCCAGCCAGATGATGCACACCTCCATCAAGGGCAGTCCCTCCACTGCCATGGTAGTGTGTGGATACCCTCACACACACCCAAAGACAGTGCTTTACCTGCTCTCCATTTAACATGACACCTGAAATTCACCATCATGTGAGAGTTGGCATTTGCAGCAGTTCACTTAGTCCCAGGTCCCAGAATGACACAAAATTGGCCAATGATGCTCGCACACACAGAAGGTTCCATCATGGAATGGAACCTAAAACCCAAGAAGCTTTCTACTGCCTCTGTGACACTGGGCAGTAAGCAGGCCTGCCCTGTCCTGTGGAGGACCCTATTCTTACCTCCCAAGGTTGCTGCCTACACAAGCCATGGCTGAAAAGAAACACAGGTGTTCCTGATCTTTCAATGGGAAGCTGTCATTCATTGCTTCTTGTGTTTCCTGTATAGATCATATTGTAGTTCACTGATGTTCATACACTTGGGTTTTATATAGAGAGTTGAAATGTTCTTGGAGCAAGTGAAAGGAATACAGAGCAGGTCTGAAAGCACTGTGTGTTTCCAGGAAAGCATCAAAGAAAGTGAGTGTTTACAAAAGTGTGGCACAAGCAGCAGATAGCAGATTTAATAATCTAAGTTGAACACAGTTTTGCACAGCTGCTGTGTTAATTCTACCAAGTTCCTGTGGTTCTGAAAGGAATGGAGTTACTTCTGGGGATTCACTAGAGTTGTTTGTGATGTTCACACAGTCTTGTATATGTGTGTTTGAAGGACAGCAGAGTCAAGAATGATGTCTTCCTTTTCCAAATACCAAATTCAGAAGCATCAACCTAAAGTAGAGCTGAGCACAGTGAACGATTTACAGTGCCTGGTGCTGCAGACCAGTGAGCTCAAGGGAGAGAGAGCCAGAGTCATCCTGCGGTGCCCAGAACTCTTTGACTGGTTGGGTACAGTCTTCTGTAATGCAGACCTGCAGGTATCTATACTTGGGAATTGAGCAGGGCTGTGGCCTACTGTTTTATTTATTTATTTTTCCTGTTTTATTTTAATAGACATGTACTCCTTAGGAGGTGATTCCACAGTAGTTTTGAGTATCTTCTCTTTTTTTTCTTTATGATAGAAATAACGAGCCTCATAATTTCGTGTCAACCTACTGCTGTTCCCAGCCAAGCACAGTGGTGGCCAGGACTTGCTTGTGTGCAATCACTGGCCTCATCCTTCCAGAGAAGATCTGTGTACTGCTGGAACAACTGTGGTAAGCACCTTTTTTATTTTGTTTTGGTGCCACGGTTGCATGCTGAGCACAAGCAGGCCCCTTTTCTTGGCTTTGGAAAAGTGTGGAAATGTTATGTTTCATTTGGGTTAGTCATCTTTGCTGAGGAATGTGCTAGAGCAAGTCACCTCTCCTAATGAGAAGGAGGCAGAGGCTCAGAGCCTCTTTCTCCTGCTTCTCCAACCTGAGCCATTTTGATGCAATCAAAGGTAGAACATCATTCAGAAACAGAGCAGAATTCTGTGGGATGAATTACATATAACTTCTAGTACTGGAGATGTATAAAATGTTTAATCTGAAACGGTGTGGACAGAAACAGGGTAGAAAAGAGTTGATCAGCCCAAACATATCTAAGATGTGTTCCAGCCCTGAAATTCTTTGAGTCACGAAGCACTAACATTATGCTAAGTATTAAATTCAAGTGTTAAGGTTTTATATTTTCCTTTTTGTTTTTGCCATCTGGGAAGGTCATATATAAATAAATTATGTCCATTGCATGTAATGTGAAGACAGAGAATTATTCTGTTTATCATTTTCTCTGTCCTTTTAAAATATCTTCATATTAAAACCTTCAGTGTTCTCCCTGCCTCTGTGTCAGTCACTAGTGTGGTTTGAACTCATGTTCTTCAGTTTGTCACATTACCACTGTGCCATGCCTCTAGTACAAATTTTGGCTTGTTCATGTGAATGGAGTCTTGTCAACTTTTCTGCTCAGGCTGGCTTCAAACTTTATTCCTTCAGATCTCAGTCTCCTGAGTCACTAGTATTACAAATTTGAGACACTTGTGCCTGGGATGTTTTACTCTTTTGAACCTAATACTTTTTTTTTTGTTTACAATTTATTAGCTTAGTACTTTGGTTTTCTACAATAAGAAGGACAGTTTTTGATTAATTGGATGAATTACTCTGTGACGTTTCCCTAATCAGACTGAAAACATTACTCTCACTGGGAGGGAAACATCCTTATACACTGTGTAGGGTTTTATGGTTTGGATTCTTTTGTCATTGTTGGTTTCAAGCCCAAACCTTGCACACACTAGGCAAGTATTCTGCCCTGAGTTAAACCCCTAACATGGTTCTTTGAGTCTTCAGACATGTTCCAGAGTTAGGTGGAGAACTGTGACTTTTGTTAGGTGTGTAGTGTGTGTGTGTATGTGTGTGTGTGTGTGTTTTGTTGGTTATACGGCCTGAACTCTGGGCCTGGGCACTGTCTCTCAGCTCTTCAGCTCAAGGCTAACACTCCACCACTTGAGCCACAGCGCCACTTCTTTTTCTTCTGCTCATGTGGGACTGAGGAATCGAACCCAGGGCCTCATGCATCCAACGCAAGTGCTCTACCACTGAGCCACCTTCCCAGCCCCTAGCATGTTGATCTTTATAGAACTTACAAGATAGCATCAGGAACTTACTCTGCACCTGCTAGTTTGTATAAGTTAATGCTGAAATTTAAGATCATTAGAACTTCCAGAATATATTTTTTTAAATGTAAGTATGGACATTCCTCCATCTCCCGTTTTGTTAAGGATGATCTGTCTTTTTCAGTCATTACTTCAATGAACCGAAGCTGCCCCGTGGGTTACCTTGTCAGTTCAAGGCTTTGCAGACAGCCCTGTTTCCTGGAGAGAGAATGAACATGATTTTCAAAAAGGAGGTGAACATATGTACAACTTTGTGATTTTTGATAACCAGGACTGCTGGCTTCAGATGGCTTTTGGGATACTTGATGACAGTCCTCCCATGCAATACAAAGTTATTTATAGTTACTCTTGTTTTCTGGTTTCTTCATTGTGTGCGTGGGCCTGTGTACTGACGATGCTCCTCAGCTCAGCATTTGCTTGCATTCTGGCCTGCACAGCCTATCCATGTGGCAGCAGGTGCATGCTCAGTGACTGGCTGGTCACTCGTTCCCTCTGTCAGTGCAAGCACAGGATGTGCTCACTGTGCTGTCATGGTGGCTGAAATGAGGGGACCATTGAGTAAGGACTGCTGTTGCTCACTGCAGCTTTCATCAAGCAATGAGAAGACCTTTACGACCCTTCCCAAGACCTGTCCTTGTGGTAAGGCTCTTCATTTATTCCCTCCTCAATTTCTCCTCAACCCTTTGAGGAAACTGAGGCACAGGATGGTCAGGAAGCTGCTGAGTTCTCCCTGCTAGTAGAAGAGCCTGGATGTCAGGCCAGCATGGGTCCTCATCAGCTGTGCTCACTGTGTTTATTGCCTCTGGACCAGGGAGGGACCTGTGGGAACTTGGAATTGTTAACCAACAAGTTCCATTTTATTTCTATTAATGTGGCTGATAGGAGTCCATGAAAAAACAGCTGTCACAATACACAGGGACAAGAAGATATTTTAAATGTATCCAGAAACTGAAAGTTGTTTTCAAAAAGAGAAGCAAAAAAAGTCAATGAAGCCAAAATCCAGAAGAATATGAAATTGGGCTTTTCTTTTGACAGCCTCGAGTGAGGGGGGAGCAGCAGAGAAGCCAAGAAAACTTAGGTCCTGACAGGGTAGAAGAACCAGGAGGGAGACATAAAGTTGAGACTCCCCAAAAGTATAGACAGCCCCAGGGCGAACTGAATGGAGCTGTCTGTTCCCTCACATCCTCATCCCCTCAGCTTCTGGAGCAGCAGGGAAGACTGCCTGTGCTAAAGGAAACTATTGCTCTGAAGTTGGCAGAAATGTAAGTATACATGTGTACAAGTTCCTCTTGTTTTGAGGGAACTCAGAAGGTTCTGGAATCTAAGGTCATAGTTTTAAAAAAATATTACAAAGCACGAAAAGTAGGCAAGAGATGTCAGAAACAGTGGACAGAAGACATTGAAGAAGGGCTGGGAAAGGGGCTCAATAGTAAAGCATTTGCCTTGCATGAATGAGGCCTGGGTTCGATTCCTCAGCACCACATAAGCAAAAAGAAAAAAGCCGGAAGTGGCGCTGTGGCTCAAGTGGTAGAGCGCTAGCCTTGAGCTGAAGAGTTGAGGGACAGCGCCCAGGCTCAGAGTTCAGGCCCCACTACCGGACCTCCCTCCCTCCCCCCAAAAAAGAAGATATTGAAGAAGTTTGTCTTTATAGTCAACTAGTGAAAAAACAAACTTCAAAACTGTAAGGAGAAGTACACAGTATCAGACTTAATGTCTCTCTCTGTATGGGTAAATAGTCAGAAAATCAGCAAAAATATAGCCAACATGAGCAACACTATTAACCTATATAAATATTCTACCCTACAAAGCAGACACCCATCTTTCTTAAGTGAATGTGGAATATGTGTGTAGGCAGAACAGGCCTATTCAATAATTTCAGATTTGAGAAGATTCATTGTATGTGATTTCTGGTAGTAATAAAACTATACTAAAAGTCAATAACATCCTTGAAAATTCCTGAAATATTTGGTAACTATGTAACTTGATAATTCATAGGTTAAAGAATCATCTAGGGGCTGGGAAGGTGGGTCAGTGGTAGAGCGCTTGCCTTGCATGCCTGAGGCCCTGGGTTCGATTCCTCAGCACCACATAAGCAAAAAGAAAAAGCCGGAAGTGGTGCTGTGGCTCAAGTGGTAGAGCGCTAGCCTTGAGCTGAAGAGCTGAGGGACAGTGCCCAGGCCCAGAGTTCAGGCCCCACGACCACCCCCCCCCCCAAAAAAAAGGAATCATCTAAAGAGAATCAGGTATGTAACCTGAGTAAAAGTTTTAAAATGAATGCCACTGTAATAATAATACATACAGTAAAAATCACCCCTAAGTCAGTTTGTGTGTGTGTGTGTGTGTGTGTGTGTGCGTGCGCACGCGTGTGAGCATGGGTACATGCGTGCATGTGTACATGGATGCCTAAGTGCGTGCTGGTTCTGAGGCTTGAAATCAGGGCTTGAAATCCCTGAGCTTTTGTGCTCAAGGCTAGTGCACTATCACTTGAGCCACAGCTCTACTTCCTGCTTTTTGGTGGTTAACTGGAGATAATCTCACAGACTTTCTTTCTGAGGCTGGCTCTGTACTGTGATCCTCAGATCTCATCCTCCTGAGTACCAAGGATTGCAAGCATGAGCTACATGCACACAGTTACTAAAGTAATTCTTAGAACTAAATTTATAGCATTAAATGACTGTCTTAGAAGATCTCAAAAGTAGCTATTTCATTTCATTCTCCTGTAAGAAACTGGAAAGAAAATTAAATTAGAAGTAAATGAAAGAAAAGGAATAATGAAAGTCAAAGTGCGATTCAAAAAAAAATTTAAGAAGCCCATTAGATGCACAAGCTTGGTTTTGGAAAAGGTGAGTGGATGGATGAATGGATGGATGGATGGATGGAAAGATAAGTAAAACCTTCAGCCAGATTTATCAAGGGAAAAAAGAACACAAACTAAGGCATAAGGCATGAGGAAGGTGACATAGCTAATGATCCTATGGATATAAAAGGATTTAAATGACTTAGAAATACCTTTATCCTCATAAAGTCAGTAACATGGAAGAATCTGACTAATTCCTAAAATGTGCATGTTACTGAAGCTCTCTCAAGAAGAAATGGGTAATCTTCTAACCTTGTATCTAAGAAATTAAAATTGTAGTTTAAAACATTTGTACAATTAGAGGGGTAGACCAGTGATAGGATGCTTGTCAAGCATGTGTGAGGCCCTGGCTTTCATCCCTAGCAACACACACACACACACACACACACACACACATCCCTAGCAACACACACACACACACACACACAATAGAATACAGAATTCAGGGGCTAGGCACAGTGAAAGCTTGTAAGTGTGGCCTAAGCTACATAGTGCAAAAAAAATTAATCAAAGTTTTAAGAATATGTGCTCTTACTGCCTCATACTGGAAGTTCTAAGCTGTAGATAAGAAATGGAAATGATATTCAAACAATAAAAGCCATAAAGAATTTAGGAGTTGATCTGACCAAAATGAGAAAGACCTGTACAATGAAACTACAAAATTTGCTGTGATAAGGAAGACTTAAATAAGAAAATTTGTCATGTTGAAGGGTCAGAAGTCAAAGCTATTGTGGGAGGTGGGTTAGGTTACCTATGAGCGTGGGATATTTGTGATGATGCAACACTGTTCCTATACTGTGATGGTCAAATTATGAAGCCACATGTAATAAATACATAGTTCTACCATACACACACACACACACACAAGGAGACCCTTGGGAGTATATTTCAGGTCTGTGGATTGTGCCAGTCTTAACTCTTTGGTTTTGACAGTGTGATATAATCACGTGAAATGAGATGGATGATGTGACTCAGGATGCCTCTGTTTTCTGTTTTGCCACTTTCTCAGAAGCTATGTTTCTTTAAAAATAAAAATAAAGCAGGGGCTGGGAAGATAGCTCAGTGGTAGAGCGCTGGCCTTGCATGCTCGAGGCCCTGGGTTCAATTCCTCAGCACCACATAAGCAAAAAGAAAAAAGCCGGAAGTGGCGCTGTGGCTCAAGTGGTAGAGCGCTAGCCTTGATTCAGCACCACCTGGGACAGCGCCCAGGCCCAGAGTTCAGGCCCCACGACCGGACCCAAAAACAAAACAAAAAAAATAAAGCAAAACTACCAGAACTTAAAATATTGCTTTTTATGGATGAAAATGGAATAATAAAACCTATTAAAATTGCAAGGAGAATAAAGGAAAGTGGGTGAGTGAAGTAATATGATTAAAGCACAAAAACAAGTATGGAATTATCACAAAAAAGCTATACAGTTAATAAAGTGTGCTAATACAAAAAGTGTGCTCCGGACTGGGAAGGTGGCTCAGTGGTAGCGCGCTTGCCTTGCATGCATGAGGCCCTGGGTTCGATTCCTCA